TACAGCAAAGGAAACAACCAGTATAGTGAGAAGACAACTTCTGGTAAAGCATTTTTTTCCAGCTACACCTCAGAGTACAAATGTCCACAATATATAAACAACTCAGAATATTTACACTTCACAAAATAAAAGACTCAAGAAATGGGCAACTGAAATAAACAGACACTTCTCAGAAGTACAAACGACAATAAATACACTAAAAAAGTTCAGTATTTCTGGCCATTAGAGAAATGCAAATTAAAACACAACTGAAATTCCATCTTACTCTAGAAAGAATGGCAATCATCAAGAAATCAAACAGTTTCTTATTTTAGCTGACACCATATTAGACTATGGAGTGAATGAGGAATTTTCTTAAAAGATATAGCAAAATGGCACCAAATTTCATGATTTTGTCAAATATGAGTTGATAAAACTAAAATGTCCACGTGGAAGCAAGCACCTAATGAGGCTAAATAAATCAGTAGGATATTTAAGAAAAAGTGAGCAAGAAAAAATAATTAATGGATTATGTTTTAAAGTTACAAAATGTTCAGACTAATGAGTAACTTTTATAAATGGTAAAATTTCAGGGAAATTTACAAGTATATGCAATTCAACTATAATATTTATTTCCTTGTCCTAAGTTAAATACCATTGTACCTTACAACAAAACATCTTGGTCTTTAATCTGGAGTAAATGGATCTCTCCCTCAAAACTTTAGAAAACATGTTTGTATCACTTCTTTTGGAAAATATGTATGTGTGTGTGTGTCTTTTATTTTTAACTACTCACATTTTTTTGCAAATAGGTAAGGCGTATAATCATTTATTATGAAAATTAAAACATTAAAATATGTTTCCCCCCCAAAATGAAACCAAATAGTAACAAATGATGATAAGGTTGCAGTGAAAGAAGAACCCTTCTATACTGTTGGTTGGAATGTAAACTGGTACAACCACTATGGAAATCAGTTTGGAGAGTCCTTAAATACCAAAAAGTAGAAATTCCATTCCATCCACCTCATTCCAAGAGATGAAGATATCATCTTGTAACATGGCTATGCATAGCCATGTTTATAGCAGCACAATTCATACCTAAATCTTAGCAGTGGCCTAAACCAGAAGAAAAATCAATAAAGAAAATGTGACACTTACACACAGTAGAGTACTGCTCTGCCATAAAGGACAAATTTGAGTCATTTGAAGGAAAATGGGTGCACTTAGAGATAATAATGTTAGGTGAAATAAAACGGACACACAAGCTTAAGTAAGTATTGTATCAATTTTCTTAGATGAGAAACCCAGAGTATAAATAAATTAAAGAGCAAAATAAAAGATGCATCCTGAGAAATACAAAGATAGATCTTTAGCAAATGGGGAGGGGAGCAGATATAGAGAGGTGGGGGATTAGGAGCTGGAAAACGAGTTGGAAAAAATTAGGATGTGTCAGATACACGTATCAACTTCCCACAAAACTGTATATAACAAAAATATGTACTAATATAAACCAAAATAAGACAATGTGTATTTATTCATTACACTATAATATAAACTAGACACTTAAGAATGCAACAATAGAAACAACAAAATAATACAGAAACCACTATAACCCAAAACACTGTATTAACTAAGTATTCAAATTAAAAGTTATAGAATGGTTTTGAAAGAGATATCGCCAAAAGAAATATGATTTAAACACACATGTCTTGAATTAATTATGGAAAAATGTAATCATGACCTTAGTCATTAAAGAAATGCAAATCACATACACAATGAGATAGCATTTCACTCACTAAAATGGTTATAATCAGACAGAAAATAACAAGTAGTGGTGAGAATGTGAGAAATTATATAACCTTCATACACTGCTGTTGGCATTGTAATTTTTTGCAGTTGCTTTGGAAAACACTGTAGAAATTTCTTAACAAGTTACATATAAATTTGACATACAATCCAGCCATTCTATTCCTGTAAATCTAACCAAAAGAAATGAAAGTACACGTTCACTCAAATAGTTTTACCTGCACAGTTACAGCATCGTTATTCCTAATAGCCTCAAACTAGAAATAGCTCCATGTCCACTGATTGGGGAATGGACAAACCAGATGCAGTATTCTCACTAAATGAGATGCTGTGTAGATATAAAATGGAGCAACGTATTGTGAAGTACTACAACATGGATGAGCCTAAAAACAGTATGCTAGGCCAATGAAGCAATATACGAGAGATCACATACTGTATGATTTCGTTCACGTGGAGTGTTCCGAACACGCAAACCTATAGCAAGTTTATTAACCACTTAACTGTGGGTGGAATAGAAATAAAGAGTTAGTGCATGTAGGCACGAGGATGATAGCAGCCTTCTAAAACTGAATCATTATACTGCTCCCTAACTGTAAATTTATAAAATGTATTTATTTGCTCATTTTAAACTGAAGAGGGGGCTGGGGATTTAGCTCAGCGGCAAAAAGCGCCTGCCTGGCAAGCGCAAGGTCGTGAGTTCGGTTCCCAGTACCTGAGAAAAACCAAAAAAATAAAATAAAATAAAATAAACTGAAGAAGTCTATGGAATATAAGTTATACTTTAATAAATATTTATTAAATATAAAGACTGTAGTAAACTTTTGTATATTCTTACCGACAATTACTTGATGAATTTGCTTCGGTGTCAAAATTATGCTGCAATCATGTTTTTCTTGAGGAGTGGTTGGGTTTGGTTTCAGTTTTTTGAGAACCTGAGAAAAATCATATTTCCAAAATCCATCATTTGGTATTAACCGAAAGTCATTGAAGAATATGATAAAACAGTAGGTAAAATACTGCACATGCCTTTCTCTCCAAGGACACTCTCTCCTTGGATGCCATTCCCTTGGTGCATAACAATTGGCTAGCTTTGATTGGATACTCCATGGAAGACCACTCCTCTTGTATTTCCTCTTGAGAGAGTGAGGGCGACTTTAGACCGGATGCTAGCAGCATGTTTACCTCTGGAGCATTGTCTGAATACACGATTTTCTTACTGAAATCATAATTGTAAGCAGTTGAGGTCAAGTCTTTTAGAAAATAAGTTATGAATCCAAATATTCCCCACAGTCTATGCTACTGATGCCCAATTCATACCTACTTAACAAGTTTGGGGCACTAATTTGCAGAAATAGTCCTTTGATAAGGAGTCTTGGGCCAGGGATATAGCTCAGTTGCATAAGTGCCCACCTGGCAAGCACAAGGTGTTGAGTTTGATTCCTGGTACCAATAAAATAAATAAATAAAATTTTTTTTAAAAAAGGAATCTTCCTTCTTAAACACCTACAAGAGGATGTTGCACCCTCTACTCCCACTCCATTCCCAAGTTCAGAGATGCCTCACAGTGAAAGACCAGTACAGAACACAAGAGATAAGCTCCTTTGGCTCAAGGCAGGAAGGACTATGTGGTCTAATTTATGCTGAAGGTATTTTGGGAGTCAATGTGAATGTATACGTTGCACCGTATCCTTCCTCAGCTCTTTCTCCTGCCCTATTCTGCTTCCTTAATTGCATGCAACTTTCTCCTAAGCATACTCTGCACAAATCACAGGTACTGAAATCCCTGTCTCAGGATCTGCTTTTGGGAAACTTACAGAAGACATTGCCAAATGAAACAGTAGCGAAGAAAATTACTATCATTAAAGTAGTTCAATATTTCACTTCTGCTATACAATGCAAGGCCACTTAAAACATAAAAAATGAAAAAGAAACAGTAAGCAATGACAAAACATCACATATTCACATGCAAAGAACTGAAATTTGACTTTTGGCAATCTATAGAAAAATCAATACCAGATGGAACAAAAAGCTAGACTATTAGAAGAAAGGGGAGGATCCAATTCATTGATATAAACAATGATTTTTTTAAAAAGTAAGAACTGAGAAGCAGTGGCAGCAAAAGCAAAAAGAAATAAATGAAATTATATCAAAGTGAGAAGCTTCTGCACACAAAAGGAAACAAGAGTAGACAACCAACAGAAGGCGGAAAATTATAAACTGTTCATCTGACAGAGGATTAATTTCTAGAATATATAAGGAACACATCTTAATAACAAAAACAACAAATCTAATCTTAAAAATGGGTTACTGAGATGAATGGACATTCCTTCAAGGATGAAATTCAAAGGGCCAAATTTATTTTTAAAATGCTGAAGATCACTAGCCATCAGGGAAATGCAAACCAAAATCACAACAAAATATCATTTCACCTAAGTTACAATGGCAAGTATAGGGCTGGGGATATAGCTCAGTGGCACAAGCATAAGGTCCAGAGTATGATTCCCAGTACCAAAAATAAATAAATAAATAATGGCAATTATCAAAAGGACAAAAAATGACAGATGCTGGTGAGGATATGAACCAAAAGAACTGTAATACACTGTTGATAGGAATGTAAATTAGTATAGCCACTAAGAAAAACAGCATGGAATCTCTTCAAAGTATTAATAAAAGAACTATCAGGGGGCTGTGGATTTAGCTCAGCGGCACAGCGCCTGCCTTGCAAGCGCGAGGTCATGAGTTCGATTCCCAGTACCGGAAAAAAAAATCAAAGAAAAAAAAATAAATAAAAGAACTATCACTATCAATGATCCCACTTCTGAGTATATAGCCAAAGGAAATCAAATTAGCATATCCACATACTCATGTTTATTATGGCATTATTCACGTTAAGTGTGATACAGAATCAGACTAAGCGTGCGTTAACAGATGAATGGATATATATTTATATATATATAAAATGTGGCCATGCAAAGAATGAAATGCTATCACTCACAAAGGAAATGAAACTGGAGGATATTAAATTAAATAAGTCAGACACACAGAGACAAGTAACCACACATTTACTCTCACATGTGCACGCTAGAAAACTCAACCTGAATATAGCATGTGAGTAGTAGAGGCTAGGAAAGGAGGAGGTAAGGAGGAGTACAGGACAGTGGGATAATGGATACCAAAGCACAGTTAGAAAGTAATAATAAGCAGTGCATTGACGATAGTTTAAAACAATCTATAACTTTTATAAAGAAATAGAAGAGAGGAGCTTGAAATCTCCAAACAAAAAGTAACAATGAAAAATGTGTATGTTACCCTTATTTACAGTACACATCATATATTTATACTGAAATACTGCACTATACCCGGTATATATTATAACACTGCTTAAATTATAAATTGTATAAATTATAACATTGTTTAAGGACAGAGAAATGCTACCTATTCTGATTTTCTCTCTCTCTCTCTCTCTCTCTCTCTCTATATATATATATATATATATATATATATATATACACATACGCACACACACACACACACACACACACCAACCTTATACAACCAAAATAATAAATTTAAAGAAGACAAAGAAAAATTCTGGCTCTGTGGACACTGTGACTGAGGAACTGATCTTTACCTCATTGCTTCTTTCTGCAGGCGCATACGTCTTAAACTGTTGATATGATTTGAATAGTACGTTCGATTTACTTTCTTCTCAATTTTTTCAATTTCACTATATTCAAAATCAGGATCTATATAGGTATACCTTGGAATCTTTGTGAAAATCGTCCTACAATATGAGAAAGTCATGTTAAAAATCTATCCATAAACATTTGTTCCATCATTATTTGTAGAGTGCTGACAAGTCAACATGTATCTCAGGTGTTAGGCATAGTATGAGAACACAACAGGCTCCAGTCTTTTCTCTCACAGCCTCTTCTATATGAAAACATTATTACATATAGAATTAGAGACCTAATTAACCCCTTAACCTAATGGCAGAAGATCCCTTCTTTTTGAGATAACCCTAAAGCTATCCCTCAGTAAACAATTTGAAAGGTTCCACATTAGAGATCAGAATTTAAGGAACAAAAACTGAGTCTGACTAGTGCTTCTCCAGTTTATGGCTTTTAGATCATTACGAGTAAAATTAGAAAAAAAAAAAATGAATCATTCTGTTTAAGATGTTACTTTCTTTTTTTTATGATTCATATATATATTTTATTTATTTATGTGCAGTATCAGTTAGACTTTCTTATTAGTACATATTTGCCATACATAATGATCACATTCATCATAGAGAATTTCTACCTGTAATAATATATCTTTTTTTTTAATTTTAAAGAGTAAAAGAAGGATAACATAGTAATAGGGGGGCTTACCGAATTACAGACAAAGTGGTAGGAAATTATCAATGGTTGTTGTTCTACATATTGTAATCTGCAAGACAGATTCTCAGGAACATACACAGACAAATAATAGTGAGCTACAGACAAAAGTGGTTGGTTATTATCAATGGTTGTTGTACTGTACTTTGGTATCTTCAAACTGGTTTCTAAAGAAAATAAATAGAGCTATACATGAGTGACCAACTGAATATTCATTGACTATTCTCAATGGCTGTTGTAGGAAACA